TTTCAATTATGTCCACCAAATCTTCTCTTTTGATCTTCTTCTTATGCCTTTCCCTCCATGCATGTAATGGACGTCGTATCAAAGGAGGTCCTAGCTCCAAGTCACATTTTTCTACAAAGGTTGGTGTTCTCTAATAAGTACCACATGTATATTTGGGTTAGAGAGGATTTGAATGAAACAATATAAAATTTTATAGTGATTAACTAAATAATTGGTCTTGTGTTGTGCAGGTTTTAGGAAGTAGTCTCCAACCCATGAAGATGGATTCATCGGTTACAAGAGGAACCAAAGAAGATGATATTGTTAATACTGAGGAATCCAAGTCTTCTCTTAAGGAACCAGTATTACACGCTAGAAAAATTTCAGGTCTTGTTCCCATCAAACCTCCTATTTCAGTTCCCCAGAATGTGCCTGCAGGCAAAAAGAATAGACATCCTGGGTTCTTCTCAGATTATTCTAGGCCCAGAACTCGACCTCCCTCTCACAACTGATCAATTATTGTCAACTAATTTTTGTTCTCCTTGATATACGATAGTTTCCATTTATAATTTAGGTTTAGAACTTGAAGTTGCATGATTCTATTACATCCATCATTAAAATTCTTAAGCATTTATCAATCTCGCTAGTTCCATGAGCATTGATTTCTTTTATTTTATTTTGTTTTTTCTGCAAGAGTTGGTAACTAATTTGTGAGGCACATGTCTGTCATCATTAGGAGATGATGATAAGTTAGAATCTTTCTCCCCAAATACTAAAAAAAAAAAAAAAAAAAAAAATCTATGTTGTTTTTTTTACATTTTCCCATATATATGATATATCTTCTCCTTATATTATGGTAATGGTTTTTTGTTGATTGATAAGGATATATATTGAACATGCAGGAAGTCATGAGATTATTAAGTCCTCTAGTCACCAGGGTTTGCATAAGGCAACAAGGATAAAGGTAAATTATGTGTTTTAAATTGCCAACAATTAAATTAAATAACTCCAATTAGAAGCTAATGATTGGTAGTATTAACCCACTCCTTAAAAAAAAAAAAAAACACGAAAAATCAGATTTACGATGGCATGGGTGCAAAATGATAAAGAAAAAAAAAGTGGCATAATCAGTATATATAGAAAATGATCAACATGCAGAAAATAACAACAATTGAAATTTTTTCCACCATCAATTTCGACGTCTTACTTGATCATCCTACATGATCAACGGCTTAAAAACTTTCCGCCTAGATTTGGCCTTACATTTTTAAGGTCTCCAAGACATTTTCCAGTCAAGTATAAGCTGAAAGCTGATTGTTGGCTAATGATTTCTAGGGATTAAGAAGGCAAGCGTTATCGGCTGTAGGGTGTGGTTCTAACACACAAGGTTGCAACAAGGAACCACATGAAGATGTAGCAGTTACAGACTATGATCCACCACATTCAGACACACCCATTCACAATAGGAAAATCAATAATTAATATATTTGAGATCGGAGATGTCTTTCTCTTCCCCCTCTCCTTTTTGTTTTGGCCTCTATAGATTTTGTTTTTAGAGGACATGTAATGCTTTTTTCTCTATATCATCGTTATTATAAACGACCTACTAGTGAATGTCTAAATAAGATTTTGAGTTTTTATATTTAATATCTTGAGACTGAACTTTAAAACGGGTGAGTAGAAGTTAAAAAAAAAAATGAGGGTACGCATTGTCACGGGGTGAGACTAGCTCCGATGACACTTGTCTCGGAGGCGGAATCTAGCTCGACCTCATGCGGCACTTAGCTTGGAATTAACCTCGTAAACCTGAACCAAGTCAGCCTTCCCCAATGCTTGGCGTGGCTCTCTAACTGGGCTCGAGGTTAGCAACACTAATATGAAGGTAGGAAGTTGGGAGAAGAAGATAATTTATTAAGATCGCAAGAGAGTGTACAAGAGTTTGAGTACAAAGCCCCTCAATGCACTCACTCACTTAACAGCTCACTCACTCAAGGCTACTCCTCATCTATTAAGGCCACCTCTATTTATAGAAGAGATCAGCCCAAGAGCCCTCTGCAGGTGAGGTCTCTAGAACACTCCACACAATTCCCCTCACATGTACAGTTGCTAGAACATTCCCCACTCTCCCCCTAGCCTAACCTAGAATAATCTAGAAAAACCCATTCTATAATTATCTACAAGGCCCTAGGAGTAACCCAGGTTGGGCTTGGCCCAACAAGCCCATCCAGACCCTTGTCTGGAGCTTTCTTTGCGTGTCCAACAGCTTCTAGAATGTTCTGGGCCCCTCTAGTCCGTCGCATAGGCATCGACACTATAATCTAGTGCATTTTCCACGTGTCGACACTGCTCTCGCTGCTAGCATGGCATGCATTGTGGACGCCCTTGGCCGTTCCCGCGCGCCCCTGCATGTCTCGACCGCGACCCCATGCCATGGCCGTGGCATTGGCACTTTCAACTCACGCAAGGCCCGCCTCCTGAGCGTTCCATGTTGCGCTCACGCCCGCTCCCGTGCTTGTGCTCACACGCCCCAGTGCCTCGAGCCATACCGCACCCATGCGTGCCAACGCCTCGACCCATTTTGCCCATGCGTGTACCCGTGTCTCGAGCCAGGACACTCTCGCGCGCCCATGCACGTCGCCCCCGACTGCTCACGCACGCTACCGCGTGTCCCATTCGCAACTTCATGCCACGCCCCGATATCGACGCCTCCGCTGGCAAGGCCCCTTGTGTCTCGAGCGTGCACCTGAGCCCTTGTATTCGTATATGTCGTAATTGCAAGCTCGTGTCGTCACACCGACACCCGCGTCTTACATGCCTGCATCCACGCTTCCAATTGCGCTTTCGCGTGCGCTCGTGATTGTGCTTACACCTATCCTCATGTCCGTTCTCGCACTCCGTGATGCTACATGGTATGTCCCCTGGACGCTGCACACACCTCCTGTGTGCCTGTGGCTGCAACTCTGTGCTACGATGCCCTCGACTTCGACTCCCGAACTCGCGTGCCGTGACAGCATGCTACCTTATGTAATCCAACAAAACTTTTACCGGCCCAAGGCCAGGCTAGTTACATTTTGGGCTGGGTTGTGCAAGACATATCTAGTCTAGCCCAATAACTAAGCTAAGCCCTAACAAAACAAAGATATCATCAGCCATCATGAGTCATGACGTCGGGTCACCGTACCAAAAAAAAAAAAGTGGAATTGACGTGGGGTCACAGGTCACAACCCCTGATGGATTATTTGCAAAATAGCCAGCAAAATATAGGATCAGCATTTAAATTTTGAGATTTGCAATTAAAAAAGGTTCATTTTTTGGAATGCACAAGTCAGTAGGCCCTGTTAAAATGGCTCAAAAAGTAATTAATTTTGAAATTAA